AGTCAGGGTCAGCTTTTAACTTCTCAACATGTAAAACAGTAATTATTTTAAATTTCTGGTTCTGTGAATTTCATAGTCCTCAGCAGTAATAAAGAATGGGGAATGTTCTGGAAGCTAATGATAGGCCAAGTTAAGTTTAATAACAGCGAAGAAATGTGATGATGTCACCTTCTGCTGCAGGTTTTTTTTATTTTATTTTTTTATTGTTATCAGCCCAGCAAGGCTTGAGTGAGGCAGCATTTGAAGACGTGATCCTTAAGAGTTCCCTGGAGCATATCTGGCAGGAAATGGAGATGTACGCCAAGGCTCATAGTCAGATGACTCACAGTGGAACCCTGAAGTCTAATGTATTTGTTATCTGCTTCTAACCAGAAAGAAACATCCAGCACTGAAATGTGGATGAGATGTTAATTCCAAGTTCTTTGTCTTAGAAAGAGCTGGATGGCTGTAGCCACTGCCTGATAAATGAGGTTTGCACAAGGTCCTGAATATTTCAGATCATCACTTGTCTTACTGTGTCTTCTGGAGGAGCTGAAGGCTTTATCAGCCCCAATTTTTTTACACTTTGGAGTTATGTTTGGTAAATCCTACCAGAATTTCCCATGTGCTTAAAAGCAAGATTCCTTGCTTACTGTCATACATGGTCAGGTGCATAGTTAGCCTTATAATTTTCAACCTGTAGTAAGATGTGTTATCATAAATAATGCTTTGCTTTCACACAGTGCGTTTTGTTCTTATACCTCGAATACCTTATACCTGCACTTTAATCGTGGATGTGACAAGTCCTTTGTGCAGTACTTATATCTTAAAGCACTTTTAAATATTATGCTCCCTCCACTGATGCTCCCCAGACCTTCACTAAAGAATTCCCTGAAAACAGCAATAGCTTCAAAGAAGGCAAATGGTTTTATCATTATTCACTATGGCTTAGTTTGCATGGTAGTAGCAGTTGTAACTGTGACCTAGAAAGCATAAAACCAAGTGTGCAGTCTGGCTAGTAAAATCTGGAAGATATTTATGGCTTATGGTTGTCTTTACTCACATAAAAAGACAGATTAATTCTGTACTGCTGATGTTGGCAGACTGTAGAACCATACTGTGCTTTGAGATTCTTTTCTGTCATATCAGTAGCCTAGTGCTGAGACCCACTTATGTCCTTGGCACTGAGCTGATCAGCAGCTTTGGGATCAGAGGGTAATTTTCCTGCATGGCAGATGGGAAGGTGTAGTTGTCGGTGGCTGAGCCTTTCCTCACTCAAGATGGTTCTGATAATTGTCTTTATCAAATATTGCTTCTGAAGAAAGAAGATAGTGGCAACATCTTCTGTCCCTCTACTGTTTTTCTTTCTTGTGATACGTTGCAGTCATAGGTCTGTCTTTGTTTGCAGTTACATTATGAGAATGTGCTAGGCAGCTTTTGAGGTCTGTGCTGGAGTGATGTACAATCAGTCTTACGTGAGCAGTTAAACCATTCCATGGTTGTTTTTAACTACAGGCTGGATTCAGTGACTCAAAGATCCCTTCCCACCCTGATATTCTCATGCTGCAGAAATACAGAAAGCTTCTGAAATTTGTGAGCATAAGCGTTATGCACCAGACCCTTCATAGCTCTGTTGCCCTTCTCTGGACATGCTCCTGGGCCCCAATATCTTCTAGTGAGGGGCCAAAAACTGAACACAGCAGTCAAGGCATGGCCTCAACAGTGCTAAGTACAAAGAGAAAGCTGCATTAGTTTGCAGAATTACCAGAATTCAAATACCAGTCTTTTTAACATTTTTTTTTTTTTCCCAGTCAGTGGATTATGTACTTGTATTTAATTTATAAGTCATCTGTGTGTCTTGTTTCAGTTTTGTTTGTAATGTGGCCAACTTAGTGATTTAAGTTGGCCAAGGGGTGATTAGAGCCAGGTGTCAAAATTCATCCAGTGGAGACTCAAAGTTGCTGCTCTCCAGCAGCTGTTTCATGCATGATCTGTATTTCTGGATGTCCATATCCTGGCAAGCGAAGTGACTGTCAAGATTCATCATCCTGGGAGTGATTTACATTTGCTGGGCATTTCAGCAAAGCAATTGCTCATGGTACAGAAATGGAGTAGGGGCTGTCTGTATGATGCAGACATAGAAAGAGTTGAACTTTGCTGAGAAGGCAGCCCAGGGTGTCTAGCACTGTGACAGCCTAGTTATATGGCCAGACCACTTGAATCTGAGTCTTGTCAAGGTGTCACATTTCATCAGCAATAAGTCTGCTTGTTAAAGAAATGAAAAGAGTAATAAAACATTTTTATTAGTCATGAAACATATTTGTCACACGAGAAGTTGAGGAAAAAAAGAAAAAGGCTTGATTTAAATATTTTTTAAATTAAGTAGTTTTTGAAGCATCTTTAAGACATGAAGTTATTTATGATTTAAAACAATTCATAACTCATGTTGTATATTACACCAGTGGTGCAGCGTTGCTCAGAAGACAAAAAAAAATGCTTATTTTAGTGATTTTAAGATAGCTTGGTATTGCATGTTAACTGTGTTTTTGTCCAATTTCTCATTCAACTGTCTTAGCACTACCATTTTCTTACTTGCTTTAACCGCTTCTTTTACAACCAGATAATTTTTGCCCTGCAACCCCTCCTCCTGAGTATGCTCACCAACCCCATTTGAGTTTACAGGGTTAGTCTGCTCAGCAATAAGTGTGTGCAAAAGTGAGCTCTATTCTGAACCTTTCTCCATATCTAGTTCTATAGCTTTTAAGTCTCCCAGTATTGTGGCTTACTGTACAGAATTATTTTATTGTGATCTCATCTACTTGTTATGACAGCTGGTTTTGTTGATCTGTAGTGCATTCATTTATGCAATAGGTTATACTCTATCAGGGTACTTAAAATCGTTTGCAGGTAGGCTTGGTAAAAAGAATGTGATCAGCTCAAAGCTAAGCACCTACCTAAATGCTTAGCTGGATTGGAGGCTTAGAGAAGAGAGGACAAGATTGCTTTAACTTTGTTTAATGTGTTTAAAGTTGTTTTATCCTAATATCACCAGGAAAACCTCTGGTTATGAGTCCTCAATGCAGAAGACTTGCCAGACTTTTATTTTGACTTTACAGTTTACTGGATCTCCTGGCTTTTCTGAACTATAACCTCAACTACCAACTCTAATTTGCATGAGAAAATGTATTTCTGTCTCTTAAGTAATTTTAAGGTAACCATATCTTAAAATAGAGAATGTAGATGGCAATGAAAAGCTGGTGTCACCAGTTCATTTGATTTCTGCATGTGTGAGGAGACCAGAATAGTTACACAAGCCCAGACTGCATCAGCCCACACAATAACTGTGGCTCTGAATGTGAATAAGGACAAAAAAAAAAAAAAAAAAAAAAAAAAGATGAACTGAGTAGCATAAGGGCCACATTCTTTTCTTGTATTAAATTAGGCAGAGCCAGCACTGGAACTACAGGGGAAAAAAGATTACTGTACCCCACTGAAAATGAAGTCCGAAGAAAAGACACAAATGTATTTTTCCAGTTCATTATCCTACTTGATGGTGTTTGACTTCTTCCATTCCTCAAAGCAGAGTGCCCTGGTCCCCACAGGCACTAAGGGATTTACTAGACTTAGTTTAACTTATGATCGCTGTAGGACTGCCCTAAATCCAGTGTTACAAGGAATACTTGTTATTGCAGTTCTTGCTTTCCTGAATGAGAAATTAGCTGGACTGAATTTTTGCTTTTCCTATTGCTCTGAGACTAGGGCATTAGGTGTCACTGAGACCTCTGAAAGCTGTATAGCAGTCCAGATGTTTTCAAAGAAAGGAATGTTTGCTGAGTTGTCTTTTCATACTTCTCCTTTTCTGCCATGTCACTTCTGGGGTTGCAACAAAAACTCCACATGGAATTCACATTGTGCAGTTTCCTGTGTGTTATTTTTCAGATACAGGTCCTTATTATAGTTTTCCTTCTCCCTTGTTCCTCCCTAAATGAGCTTTTGGCATCATTATATCAAGGATGGCACTTCAGCAAATACTTAACCTGATTGCACTGTCTAGAGTTGACAGAAATGGGCTTTGGCATTCTTGAAAAAGAATGAACTGAGGCAAATGTTTAATGCTTTTTATGATGCAAACCAAAAAAACTGCTTTCCCAATAATATATATAATATATATATTTTAATTTATTATATAAGTTATAATAGTGAGAAAGCGGGAAAAGGGTGGTTAATTGTTATCTACTAGTACTCTTGCTCAGTGCAGCCTATACACAGGACAATACAGAGTCTCAGGCTCTTGCCTTCCCTCTTCTTTCTAATGGGCTTGGGACAAACAGTTGTGGCAGTGAGTAGATCTGGGCTCTCTTCACTGCCTTATTGTGATTCTTTGTTCACTGTGCCTCTCTGTCTCTTTTTCCTTCTGTGTCTGTCTAAATTACCAAAGGTAAAAGGATGGGAACTGGCTCCTGCTCTGTGTTTGATCTTGCCTACCAAACTGGTGGGACTTGCTGCATTCTGGCAGGCCAAGATGTTCTTACAATACAAATAAATATTAAGAAATCTCTGATTTGCCCCTCTGTTTTCTGTGGCTTTGGACTCTCAGTGTATCTGATGCTGACTGACCACTCCACCATCAGTCCCACAGTCTGAGCGGTCTGTAGGAATCTCAGGTGTTTGGCATTGATATCTTCAGCTATAGCTTAGGTGCCAAGGTGTCAAGTCCATCCTGTCTTGAAAATTCTCTGAAGTGCCACAAAGCAAAACTTCAGACAGAAACACGCAGTTCCAGGGTGTCATTGGAAATAATGGTTCATTGTCCATACATCATTCATGCAACATGCGTAGTCTTCCTTCTCCCTTCTCAAAATGTCAGTCCAGAGTCCTCACCAGTTTTAATGGTATATGAGGATACAAGTGGATTGAAGCGCCTGTCTTAACTTGTGCACACAGTGAGATGTGTTCTCAGTTATGAGGCCATATACAGAATGCTTTCTACCTAACATTAATTTTCTGTTTGTCTTTTGCAGCACTTTTACAGGCAGTCATAGCTGGTGATCTGCTGAAGGTAAGCACAGAGTACTGAGTGTCCACGTTTTCACAGCTACTAGAAGGTTTGATATGCTGTAAATTATATCACACCTCTGCTCAAAACATAAGCAGACTGCTGTAGGGACTGCTGTCAAAAGCCATTTTACAGCCTTTCCAGGAAACCCGGAGTATTAGGAAGCACATCAGTTAGGTGAGGTGTGAAATTTGAGTGAATAGGATCTTATGTTAGGCAGCACCTTTCAGCCTAGGGTCCATAGTGCACTGTATAGAGCACTGTGTCAATTATCAATAGAGAAATCATGTACTGGAAGATGTAGCACTAGGCAACAGTGTAGATGTTGCAGATGTTGTTTTAGATGTTTTATTGCAGTGATGTTGGTGGCCAAGCAATTAGAGTTGTTAGAGACATCTTAATATCTTCCTAGGCAACCAAAGACCAGGTAGAATGAAACTCAGTTTGATGCCTTACTGTTTGATAGATGTCTCAAAACCAATAGCATTTTGGTATGGTCAATTTTTGGTACCTTGCTTTGGTAGGAAAAGGCATCCCATGTAAAAAGCCTTGTTCTCTAAGTCTGAAGTTCTATGCCTGACACTTATTCAGGCTGCTTGTTTCAGTAGCCAAATAGGGGTTTGCAAACATGTCCCTGAATTTGAATGAGGAGTGTGATTAATGATTGCAATATTATCTGCAAAAAGCCAGCTTGGAACCATTCATAAAAATGACAGTACTGTTAGGGCAACCCTTGGCCTGCAGATATACCTTCTAATCTTTCTCCCCTAGTGTGGCAGCTGCAGCATCTAGGGAATGTTCCTCAAGCAAGCAGTCATTAAAATATTGTTCCATTTCTGTTACTTGAAAGCTTTTTGCCTGAGTTTGCTTTGACAAGGAAACTTGTCCTTCTTCAGTTGTCATGTGTCATAAGTAATGTCCCACTGTCACCAGCTACACCCTCTTTTCTGCAATAATCTGTATTACAGAAAGAGTTTACAGAAAATCTGAGAACTGACTAGTGGATGTTGCCTGTCCTTGTCTTGGATAGTGCCTTCCTCTTGGAGGACTCTGAATAGAAAGGAGAGTGTGTGGCAGCTCAAATCCAGCTCCCTATAGATTTTTGAGTCAGAGTTTTCTGGTTTAGTCAGAAGGTGTTTACTTTGGATATGCTTCCTTTACTGATTAAAAAAAGTGAAATTTTCAGGAGATAAGCCAGAATTTTCTATTAAATACATATATTTTTAAATTTCCTAACAGCTTCACTGTAAGTGTTTTTGCAAGTCATTTATAGCAAGCAATAATTCACCACCCATAGAGCAGCAGTGTCTCATTGTTCAGGAAATATGATCTGCTTTTGTTAACCCATATAATTGTCAATGCTTCTAGTTTAAAATATCTTTTTTTCACTGGGGCCTAAAAGCTGGCTTTAATGTAATATTACATTTCATTGCATTGCATTCTTGTACTGATCTCCTGCGGAAATTAATACATGATTTGCCTGCATATCTGTTTTTCTGCTTTTCCTGCATTATCCTTCTTTATGGGTATGCATGTGTTTTTTTTTTCCTAGTTCATAGAATGCTGTAAAAAAGGAGCCAATTTGCTAATCCAAGGACCTGACCATGGCTCCTTGTTGCATCACGCTGCCAAGAGTGGGCATGGCGAGATTGTGAAGTATATCCTGGAACACGGTGAGTCAGTGTGCAAACCTGCAAAGAGCTGTACTGCAGCCGAGTGTGTCAGCCAGGTGAAACCACACAGCACAGCATGGCTGGGAGCATTCTCACTCGTTGTCATCACCCTCAGCCACTTGTAGAAGGCGTGAGCAGGAGACTAGGAATGTGGCGGCAATGACAGGAATGGCTCCAGATGAAAGGAAACTAAAATGAGTTTTGAGGAGAATGGGAATTTTCACAGTTTCATCAGTTGTGATGTTTGAAGACCCGGTGCGATGATCTAGTTTGCCCTCTGGCATGAGACTGCAAAATTAATTTGTATTCCTATTAAAGCACGTGTTGTAGAAAGGATCTAATCTGTGCAAAATCATGAACAGAAATGGAAAGTCCCTCCTACCATTCATATTATTTCAGTATTTAATAATGCTGGTTAGGAAGCTATGCATTTGTTTCTAGACTGGATTTGCGTAGTTTCCTTCACAACCTTCCAATATTTTGTATCTTTTTTTTTTGTTTGTTTTTCAAGTCCATCTCATAACAATAATCTGTGATATCCATTTAAAATATTTATATTCGTATGCTGTGAGCTTGCCATTTCAGTTTTTTCCTTCAGACTCTTTTTATGTTTGTCAGTAACAGGATCACAGGCATGCTTACATGGGCTATGTAAGAATTTGCATTTTACATATGTTTGAGTTAGCAGTACTTAGGAGTTTCTGCCTGTTCAAACTACTGTGATCTTGTTGACTGCTGGAAAATGATATAGGCCATAACAGCATGACAACTACTCACAAATACAGAGACTATCTCTGGCAATTATAATGTATTAGCTAATGCCTGAAAGTTGCTACGGAAGTTTCACAGAGAGAAGAAAAAAGCACTACACACAGTAAATAAAGAGACAATAATACATCTGTTAACACTGGTTTTAGTTGGAGTGGGATTTAGCTTCAGTTTGGCTCTTAAAGCTTAGGTTTTTATACGGTGTGATATAGTCAATAGGTCTAAGTTCTGCATGGGTCCATAGATAACATGCAAGGCCTGTAGAACTCATATCCTTCTGGACTGCCAGCAGGAGCCTAGACAAACATCCCTGTAATTCCAAATTCATACCAAGGCTTACCCTTCAAAATATCATAAAATATCCATATGTGGGCAGCTGAACTGTTCTCCAGTTATTTGGCTAAGAGAAGGGTCTTTTTTTTTGTGTAGAGATACCTACATCTGATAGATACATATAGCTGGCCTTATATCCAAATTCTGGCTATTTTTCTCCGATGTTGTAGCAAGTCTTACTATCACTAAATTTACTTCTTATTTGACTTCTCTGGATCATCTCATAGGTTACAATTCATTTATATGCCTCTAAATTCTGTAGATAGACATAATTTCACCTAATTTTCTTAGTCTTTCTTGTTTCTTCTCTTGGTTCGCATGACCTGTGCCACTTCGCTCTCAAGGATACCTCTCCAGGACTTTTCTTAGGCACACATACCTTAAATTACAGACTGACCCAGTTACTATTCTTTCAATGAGGGTTTAAAATGAGATCATTTAAGCTGGTGAGGATGTGAGCAGGAAATCCATGGGAATTTTTTAAGTGAATAGAGAAATGTAGGGGATTACGGACAGTTAGACAAAGACAAACCAGAAGGTTGAGCAAATGTCAACTCAGTTTCTCTCTCCCCCCCCCCATCCCCCTGTCCCCAAGGATGACAGGAAGCTTTTGCAGCTTTCCAGACATATGTCCTCTCGGCTTCTCCAAATGCATTGTTTGTTTAACATTCTCTGGGGATCAGAAAATGCATGGGACAATGCTCTAATAGGGGCCTCCTCTTTCTCCCACTAAGCAATTAATGAATCTCATTTCTACCCTGGGCACTTCTCAGTCACAAACAAGCTCTCTTGCTGAATCATCATCATGATGTCCTTGTTTTTATGTTGTTTCTCTGGCACCTGGCATCTTCTCATTAATAATTAGTGTATGAGACCTCATCCAACACTATTAATATCTGAGGCTTTCCTTGTATCTAGCTTCTTATTTCTGCTAATTGACACACTTGATAAAAATGGATCTTACTCTTCTTTTGGCCATTACTTTTGTCCACCTCTAATTCCCCCATAGTTTTTCTGTCATAGAGTTTATCAAGAACACGTGACTAGAGATGGTTAACATTAATAAGAGCTCCACAGCAAAATACTCTCCAGCTACAGTGCAGGAATTCCGTTATTAATCACAGAGAAAATCTTCTCAATGTAGTTCAAACAGTGACCAACAGCAACAAAAAAATGATTGTTAGCTATCTGGTATGAAGCTACTGGGGTGAATTGAATGTGGTGCAGGGGTGGTAAATCCCTCCTTGCCCCCAGCAAACACACCTCAGGCACAGCACTGGGACTGTGAAGAAGAGGAAATGGTGTTGTGCTGTCTTTTGTGGTGATGGCTTTATGCTTTCTGCAACTATGCAGGGATATTAATATGAGAGATTACATTGTGATCTTGATCAGAATTATTTTAGATGTTAAGGGGAGGAAAATAACCCGTCTCAAGACAGAAAAAAGCAGAGATTGGTCAAACAAAGAGATTGCTGTGATACATATCAGTGGACTGGCATGAGTCTGGAACAGCAGCTGAAGCAGCAATGTAGTAGTAGGTGTTAGAACAACTGAAGTGTAGTAGTTGTTATAACAGCTGCTTACTGCTGCAGGAATGGTTGTGTTGGTTGCTGTTCCTTCAAAACAATTTCTCTCCATCTCCAATGCATGAAGGGCAGATACACAGACCTACATGTTGTTCAAGAAGCCTTCATAAATCAAGGGTCTTTTTCTTGTATTGAAAAGGTCACCTTTTAAGATCTGTCTGTAGCTGGGCTAAAAAACACTTTGCAAGAAACTGAGGGCCAAACTCAGTAGGTATCAGAACCACATGTTTTTTTGCTGCAGTCAACTATCTCACGCACCAATGCTTACACATTAAAAAAAATTAACTATTTATTTCACACAGTTCAGTAGGGAACACTTAAGAATCTCAGTTAGAAAAGGATCTCCTAAATCATTGCCTGTATTTGGAATCAAACTTGATTTGGAATCTTCATCTGGAAATGCTGAACTGCTTATAACAATTATTGAAGACAAGCAATCCAATATATATCTTCTCTACTTTTCTTCTCTAGAAGCTCAAAAAAAAATGCAAGTGTTCTGTAGTTAATCCAGGGAATGTCAGTTTTCAACAGAACATTGCTTACAATTGCTTAAGAGTTTGCGTTGGAAACTTCTGGTGGAATAGTTAGTTCATGTCATTCTGAACATCTTTGTGACCTCTAACCTCACTGTCCTTGTTCCACTAGATAGCTTCCTCTAGTAAACAAGAGAATGCATTTGTTGTTATTATTATTAGAGTTTTTTTGTTTGTTTTGCTTGGAAAACAAATTCTGCTATGACAAAGATCTATAGTGGGGACAAAGCCTGTTGAAGATTGAGTTTGTCTGACATTCACTGATAGCTCTAGATTTGCAGAATGTTTTGTAGCAGGGGGACATTCGTGAGTTGCTTAAGTAGTAAACAGCTCAGATTTCCTAGAAGGCACAAAATATAAAATAGTCCATTTTATTTTCTAGGTTTACAAAATTTGAGGTTAATGTGAGTGAGGGACAGTTAAAATGAGAGACATCTTCACACAATAGAAATTCAGAGCCAGAAGACGCTAGTAGTCCAAGACAGACACTGTTAATCTTCACATCAGGTAGAAATTAGGAGTGCAAAGTTGGGGGAAGACCTGAAATAGTTCTACTTTTGCAAGTGAATGTTATTTTAAAAATAATCCTTCCTTGACAGTAATGAACCAAACCTATTTTTGTCCTGTATGTCAAAACCATAATTAAATGATTAACCAAAGAAGATTTTGACTGATGAACTCCCAGAAATGCTGCTAGTGAAGGACATTACTGTTAAAAACAGATTCACTTCTTCCCCATTTGTACAAAGGGAGGGACTGACAGGACCAGGGACTGGCAAAGGTTAATAACTGTGGGTCTCCTGTGGGTAGCTGTAATCACCTCCACTGGAGAGGGCAGGGTGTGTTACAGGCTTGGAGGCCTTGTAGACTGCATGGTGCTGTATATTTTGGAAATGCCTCTTTTTGCCTCTCTTTTATGTTGTAATGAACTCAGCTAAAGGGCAGCTGCTTTTTAGCATCTCCTTCTCTTGCCTCCTCCTGTCCCTAGCTTGGCCTGAGAAATTAGAGAGGGGCTTTGGTGGAGTGAAAGGGGGCAGAAGGAAAGAAGGAAAAAAGTTAATAATTCTACACAGACAGTCTATTGGAGATGTGAAGTAAAGAAAGTGATCTCAGCTGGGCTTCCCCTCAGTATGTCATGCTTTTCAGCTCCTTTCAAGCAAACTTCTCCCCCCTGTCCCCATACTGCCATTCTTTAGTCCCCAAGCCTCTCTCTTTCTCTCTCTCTTTCTCTTTTTTTTTTTTCTCCCTCCACCTCTCCACACATTTCTATCTTTTGTTTTTATTTCCCCCCCTGCTGTTTTGCTTGATAGAAATCTCACTCATGCATTTCCCTTCCGGATTTCTATGGGGTTATTTTGTCCTCTCTCTCTCTGCGCCTTGGTCTCCTTTTCTTTCTTTGCCTCTTGTCCTGAAGTAAAACAGTCGCCTCCCTGCTGGGTCAGGATGACAGTGCCGTTAGCTTTCCCAGTGCCAGCCCTTCCCACGTATGTGCAGCTTTTGTCCCAGGGCAGAGGGGGATTTGGAATGGTCGGTTGGCAGCGCCAGGGAGACTGATGTAAAAATGAGGTCCAAAACAGAGGGGAAAGGGAATTAGGAGGAGAGCGTGATGTGGTTTAAGAGAAGCACAAGCAAAACAAAGAAGAAATAAAGGAAACAACTCAGATTGAATGTGAGTTGGGACCATATACTTTTAGAGATAGGTCAAAGAGAATAAAATGAATGAATTCTGGCACCATGTCATGCTGTAAATTGATTAACTGCAATATCTGGCCTTAAGTCTAACTGCGATGGAGTCAGGTTGCTCCCATTGGATGTTTTGTTTTGAATGGTTTACTGGAGAACTCCCATGTGCACTGATAGGATGTACTTGGCACCTGTTAGTTGTACTTGTAGAATGCTCACTCAATCCTTAGTACTTGGCTCCCCTCCTGACCAGTTTTCCTTTGTCCTTGGTTTTCTTTCTCACCAGACGTACTCAGTTCCAGCTCTTCTGTCCACTCAGATCTCATTCTTCTAATTTCTCTCTTTTTTCTGTTCTTGCCAGATAAGAATGTGCCCAATGCGGCCAGTTCAGATATGTTGCTGCACCATCACACCACAACCTTCATTGTCCTCTCTATGAGCAGAAACATATTTTTACTAAGTTAACACTGCAAGTCATTCCTTGTACCTTTCTCTAGGAGGTAGTATTGCAGCAAGCCATGGGAAATGGCTTATTAAACCTTTATTTTTGAAATAACATGGCTTTCTTTAGTCCTGAGAGATATTATTCATATAGCTGTTTTTATTCATCTAGTTGTTGGTTGTTTGGTTTGGTCTGTTTTTGTTGTTTGTTTTTTGTTAGATTCTTAGCTATTCTTTTTCTCAACAAGGGAACTCTGCTTAGACTCCTGTATCCTTCTGTGCTTATAGGAATTCGTAGTTTGTGATTACTCTTCTATTGGATAGGGAGCTGTAAATCCACAACAGCTAAGTGAAACCTCTGTGTGGTGTAGCATGAGAGTTAGGAGAGTGGCTAATGAGCTTGGAGAACTGCTGCAGTAGGTATGCAATGCTCTATGCGCTGAGTTCTAGGCATGCTACCTTTTTGACCACCTCTTTCTCATGATGGTGGAAGGTGAAGGGAAGGAGCTATCTGCAGTTCCGGGAGCCATGGCAACCAGCTCTCCCAAACATACTACATATATATGTTATAAAAAGAGTGAGGGAGAAATGGACTGCTCAGATCCACTTCAGCATAGACTCAGTGAAAGAAGTGAAGAGAGGTTGTGAGTAGGCCTTTGTGAGTAAACAGAGTGAAATTCCTCAGTTTCAGGTGAGATTTGCCATAAGCTCTTGAGGACTCTTGAATTTGAAAGTCAAAGTGTGTTGAAGAGAAGGAAAATTCCTGTGAAGTTTCACTATTCCCTTTGCTAAATGCCTCATACCATCTGGCAGTATGCTCCAGAGAAGTGGAGAGGAGAATAATAAGGCAGACTAGAAAAGGAAAAGTTCTTCTCATTCCAAATGCTATCCAAATCCTAGCTTTTCCCTGTCACTGTAATTCAGCAATGGAATTTATTGCTGTAGACATCTGCCTGTAGTGAATATCAAGAACAAAAGCACATCAACAAAATGAATTTTTTTGTCTCACTTAACAAAAAACTTTTCTATTTTGCTTAACCTTACTTTCCTGATCATTGCTGACCAGCAAAGTACAGGATTTGCATATCAATATAAGGACTGCTGGGAATATTCCACCCTGATCTACATTCTGTATAGTGCTGTTAAATAGAGTAGCACAGGGATGTCATTCAGGACAGAATTTGGCTAATTTCAACTTCCTAATGACATTTTCCCTCTAGTACTAACAATAGATTGTAACTTGCAATATATCAGGGTTTCCATTATATCAGCATTTCCAATGTGCTGTGCTTATGTGAACCACTTAATTGAGCAAGGTGAAGAGTGAGAAAATAAATGCCATGAATATTCATTCTCAGTATAATTTAGAAGCTGCTATTCCATGGCACTGAGACTCCAGCAGTGACTGTGTATTCAGAATTTTGCTAGTGCAAGGGTTTGTGCAAGCAAATGTTACCTTGAAGCTTGGTGTATCTGTGCCAACTGAGCTTTCTGTTGATTTGTTTTACATATTCCATATGTACATTCGCATATGCAAACAAATGCTATATAACATATTTGACTGTCTTTTGCAGGTCCTTCTGAATTACTGGACATGACAGACAGTGAAACGTAAGTACAGTCTACCCTGTCTGCTTTTCACAGTATTTGTATTATGTTAGCCAACTTCGCTTGTTTTTCAAAACGGCCCATCTCTTCAAAAATAAACAAACAGAAATGCCTTCAAGTCTGAAAACAACAGACACACACGTAGCTTTCAGGCCTAGAACAAATGTTTCTTGAATACCAGAAAGGATTTTCTTTCTATTGCTTCCTATTTCTCATAAGTCTTTCTAGAGAGATTTAAGTCCTGCATTGTGCTTTGATGTTTCCAGAATCTAGTCAATGAGGATCAACATGAAGGCTTGATTTCAAAAGTCAGGACAAGAATTTTCTTATTCAGTGCTGGATGCTCTGTCTTGGTTTTTCTAAATGGACACAACTTGTGCCATCAAAGATTTCTCTCAAGTAATTAGAAACTCAATCAGCTCTAATATTATTAAAAAAAGACTTGACTTTACAAATCTCTGTATAATCAGGGTATCACAGTAATGTATATAAGTTGCTGTGAAAGTAATGCTTTGGTTTTTATTTTCATGGAAAATATAGCACATGCAAAGAACATAAGAACACTACTTGATAGAACAAATTCCCAGCTACAAAACACTATTGTTCCAACATAGGTGCCATCTTTAGCTGTGCATTTTCATCAGCAGTGAACAAGAACCTGCGTCTGCACACATGACACTCTGCATGGCCATTCAGAATGTAGTATGTCTTTCTTGTTGCTGTTGTCAAACACCACCCCCACCATTTCACTGTGCTCACATCCACTGGTTGGTCTCCATAACAAGTTCAACAAGTGTCAATGAATGTCAGTAGGTGCTATTTTTTTCTGCATAGAGGAATTCAGTGACACACCTTTGCTTCGTATGCACTTCCATGTCGGATGCCACTCTGTCAGAATGCCCCTCTGCTGCCATCTGCCTTATGGCAATAGAATGTAACAGAATATTGGTAGAAAGATTCGTGCTTTACTGCCATACCGCTATTTGTCTTTGATACTGTGGGAAAAAAAAAAAAATGGAGGCATTAGTTTTGGACCAGTTCTCGTATAAGTGATCCATAAATAACTGTGGGAAACATATAGAATGTATGAGAAACAAAACAGCCTTTCCCATAGGGGTTAAGCCTATCATTACCCATCTCACAACATCCTCTTCTTTAGCGACATTCTGTTAGTTCTGCACGGGGTACTTATGGCAGTCCAGCAGTGGTGAAGTCCATATGCTCCTTCTCCTTGTACAGTGGCATTGTGGAGACTTTGAAATAAAAGTGCAAGTGAATATAGCTATGAGGGCTTCCCTTTACAAATGTTTTCCTATCACTACCTCTTGAAAATGAAAATTTTTCTTTTGATTCTCAGAGTGAAATCAGGTATCTTCTCCACCTGAATCTAGCCCTCATAAATTAGAGATAGATTACAAAGTTGCCTGTTAATGTTTAACTTGCCCTGTAATTGGCTGAGACTGAAATTCCTTTCTGGGAATGTATGCTCTTCTACATCTGTCTTATCACAGGTAATTCTTATCATTTTTTATCTTGGAGTGCATGTAATTGCCCTACTTGTTTGACTGTAGTACTACAGACACCTCTTCAAGCCGATCAAACTACTTTCCTCCTATTTCTAGTCAAAGATGAATTGGCTCCTTTAACCTCATTAGTACAGTCGTTCTCAGAATCCTGCTACAAGTAGACCACCCTGAATTAAGAACTTTGCAATAAACCTGCACCTACTACACAGCTTTCTGTTCTGAAAAGCATGTGTTCAAGCTTCCTCAGTAGCTCGCTAGTCCAAAAGTACAAAACAAAAACACAGATCTCCTCTCATGCATCCATGATGGTCAGGTATCAGAACCAGGGCAGCAAGTGTACCAGTCATGGCTTTGATGAGCATGATTTTTCTATCACGCCTCCAAAAACAGGAGATTCAGGAGAGAAAAAGCAGGAAGATAAAAGTATTGTTCCAGCATAGCCTGCTATGAAATAAGGTGTTTGCTTTGTCTCTACAGCAGAACTGCGGGTTGGATGGGAATGTGACATTTTTGTTTTTCTGAATACAATATTTCTGAATACAAAAATGTTGTGCCTGTTTCTTTCCCACTTCTCAGTTCTCCAACTGCTATTTGTGCACTGCAGGCTTTCTTACTGAGTCAAAGGATGTAGGTGCTAAGGAGGAGAGTGCACAAGTCCGCCTCTGCCAGGAAGAAGCAACCTTGCAGAAATACGTCATCCCTTTCTGTTCACTGAACCTTCTGTTTCATAAACGTTGATGAGTGTGATGTGTCTCACTGCTGGTTTCTGTACTTTGGTCTAGGGGTGAGACAGCATTACATAAAGCGGCCTGCCAGCGCCATCGTGCCATCTGCCAGCTCCTGGTGGATGCGGGAGCCTCGCTGAGAAAGACGGACTCCAAGGTAACCCAGCTTAGTCAACGAGTTATAAAGCACTGCAGCCAAGCGAGACTGATCAGCATCCGTCCCTGCTGTGTGTGTGATTGAGGCTTCCCTGTGTGTGCCAGGAACAGCTCTTTTTACACGTTTTTACTTATAAAACTGTATTGATTCAAACAAGTACAAGGGACTTTAGTTCAGTCCCCAGTGCGGGTCATCTTCACTATAGTGAGAGCTTGGCCTCAAACTATTTGGTATGTTGGGTGTGAATGAAGCATCTCCATGGCACAGCAGCATCCTTGTCTTGTGTGGTCAAAAGAGAGGTTTATGGGCAGGGGCCACCTGGGGAAGTCTTGGTTTTTGATTGCACAGTGTCTATGAGACTAGATTGTTGTAGTTGACTTGCTTTCTGAGGATGGCTAACCATCTTTTTTTGTCCTCGCTTGCCCCTGTGTTCATTGGTGTGACACTAACCACAACTGTCTTTCCATGTAAGCTTGGAGAAAGAAGATGTATGGGAAAAATTAAAACCTAGGAATAATCTGCAAAAAAACCCCAAAAAACAACAAAACATATAATTGCTTGGAAACACTGTACAGAATCAGCTCCACTAGCATTTCTGAATATAAGCAATCTATATCAGTATTTGAGAGATGCTCAGATCAATGGGTTCCAGAGTTGGAAATAGCTTTGCGCAGCAAGACAATAACAATTCCTGTCATGTTAAACTGCAGGGAGTAGTCTGTAAGCTGGAGAGAGATCATCTCTTTTTCAGATCTCTTTTTTCAGATCAGTCTCTTTTCCAGTACTATATATTGTATTTCTGCAACAGCTGGAATCCAGATAAGTGGCTTTCTGAGTTGTTAATCTTCATCAATCGAGAGAGCAAGAATGGTTTTGTGGAGATTCTATTGCACTATTTACTCACATAGCCACTGCACCCTAAGAATGAAAATTCAGTTCCTTCCAGTATGTGAGCCTTTCTGAGTAATGTATCAAAAAACATGACCTTGCAGGGCTCAATGATTTGTCTTAAACTGCACAAGGACCTTGAAATTCTTTAGAACCTCATGAGTCTGTAGTAATTCTTCTGGGTCATGCTTTCATCTGGTCTTCTAAATATGTTAGCACAACATTTTTCTTCCTGTTTTTTTATTATTATAGGGTAAGACTCCTCGTGACAGGGCTCAGCAAGCTGGTGATCCAGATCTGGCCTCCTATCTGGAAAGTCGACAGAATTACCAAATGGTTCCCCATGAGGATTTGGAAACGGCTGTCTGATATCTGAAAACAGAGAAGAGGATCTTCAGAAATAGCAAGGCTGCACCTGAGCACTTGGGCATTGTGTGAGGAAGAAGCTGATGGAATCAACATGTCTCTCGCTCTCGTGGAAAATATCAGAGGACATGCCACCAGTTTCTAAGGGCTACAGAGTCTTGCCACGGAACAGTTAGGTTCCATAAGTTAGCCCATGATGGATGAGGTGGGACATTCAAAGGTCTGTGGAATCCATGGGCCATGGAAATTTACCTTAATTGCTTCCAGCAAGTAGCATGAACTTCTCCCATGTTCATCTGTACAATTTATTAAAAAAAAAAGAAAAAGAAAAAGAAAAAGAAAGAGAAAGAGAGAAGTGAATGTTGGGGGAACCAAACTAACTGGGACATTGAAACACCTAACCAGGCCCTTCACCATCCCTACTTTTTTCTTGCATACCCTTAATTCTCCCATTCCTCTCACTTGTCATCTGTTAAATGATATCTGTTATCTCTGTGTCCTGGTCATGCAGTAGCAAAAAAAATTGCGTTCTGGAATGCCCTTAGGGAGAAAACGTTTTTACCTGCTGTGTTCCCTCCTTTGCTATCCCTTTGGAAGCTGCTTCCTTGGTCTTCTGTTACTGGAGAGTTTTTTCACTTTTGGAGAAGATTCTGCCTATTGCCTTGTTTTCTAGGGTTTGGGTCAATTTATAACAGTAACAAAAACTAACCTCCTCATTGTTGCTGCATATATGCTTATGGTATCCTGATGAGACAGTCATTTGAATAGAAAGGTTATCCAATATAGCCACGTTGTATGACAGAGCAGAAAGCTGCCCCTAGGGTTTCTTGCACCACCGCTGTACTTACAAGGACCGACTGGTTTCTGTCAGCATTCGGGCCTGACTAAAAGCTAATAGTTATTTTTTTTTTTTTTCTTTCACTTCTGGAAAGATGGGTTTTATGACAAGGAAAGGAAACCTTGGAGGTCACCAGTCAGCCATGAATAAATGAACAAGCACTGCATATATTGGGAACAGGAAAATTTCTTCTGACTGAACCTGTAAACTACCTGATTCCCCAAGGGGAATGGAAGAAAGTTTTAAAGAGAGGCTCTCCCCAAGAAAAAGGACAAGCATCAGCTCTTTACTCACTATAGGCTTGGAAATTTAAACTTGCTTAGCTGCTGTAAAGGCCTGCCATGGCTACTGTACTCATCTGTTCTCTGTCTTACCTCAAAGATTATAACTACAAAAGAAGAAAAATCAGACACACATAGACATACAGAAAATTTTCACCTTCAGGTTTTCTATCATTAAAGACAATTCAGCTACCAGAAATAGCAGAGCTTCCACTTTGCCCAGTTCTTATGAAGACACTTGTGGCCCACTTTTTGGCATAATTCTTGCAATAGATTTTTGAATTTTGCTTTGCTATTTGTTTTGACTGATCATGTAGTGGTTGGTTTCAAATGCATTTCTAGGGATAGGTCTTCGGTAGATGTCGATCGTCAAGATCTCATGCAGTTTGGAAACCATGGAAAAAACTCAGGTCATTGTTCAGATAAGTTTTACTTCCTCAGTAGAAGTTGTGGAAATTAAATGAATGAAAATCCTTTCTTTATTCTTTTTAAGTTTATCTTTTCCCTTCTTCCCTCCCTCTCCTTCCTTCCCTCTTTTTCTCCCTCCTTCCTTCCCTCCGTCCCTCTTTCCTTCCCACCTTCCTTCCTTTCCTCCCTCCTTCCTTCCTTTTCCTTCCTTTTTGAGTGATTCTTGTGGCAGAAAAAGAAAAGCTATATATATATATATATTATTTTATTTTTTTCTGTTTTCAAAAGTTTATTTGATATGAGCGAAATATTTCTTTAGTATTTCTTCCTCTGGAAGGAAACTATATATATTTGTAATCTATTGATCAATGGCGACATGAAATGTATTTTGTCTTTTTTTTTTTCTATCTTTATTCTCGTTTGAGAAATAAAATATAAAACCCAAATTTCTTCCCTTGATAATAACGCAGGGGCTTATGGTGAAGGTGTATATATTGGAAATGAATTTGGCAATGGTTAAAATAAATATATAATTATACAATTTTGGTGTATGTGAAACTTCCATAAGGAAGACCCTCACCCTCACAGTATGGTTTCATGGTAGGCATTGCATCATTTTCTAACTGTGAGAAAAGACTATACTGTAATATTCCTATATATTTGACTTAAAATATGAACGATGCTAGCATCAGTTGTATCTTTTTGCTGTTTTACTGATGTGAGAAACAGAGAGAGCTTCAGTGATACCAGGGACTGGATTTTGTCCTGTGCTGAGGTCAGACTGAGGCCTGAGCACAGGATGCTCAGTGAGCACTTTGCAGCTCCCTCATCCTTAAGTCACAAGAAGGTGGAACAATACAGGTTTGCTCTGATCACAGGTAGCCTCCAGAAGCCACGTATGAATTATTATACAGACTTGGGCCTGATCCCTGTTCATCTCCTGTAGTGCTCCTCTTGGTGCACTTGGGTGTCTCTTGTGCCCAGGGGTTGTGCACTGTTCACAGAAGGGGCTGGCTCTGGAGTAGACAATTTTCCTGAGCTCCTTTCTGCCATTTGGACTGCTCAAAGTAGCTGGAGCACACATGAGAGAGCCTGGCCTGCTTTTTTCCCTAGCAGCAGGAATGTGATGCTATGATGAGCGAGAGTTGTCTAGAAAACTTACTGCTCTGTGTACGCAGTGTACTGCGGAGGCAGTTACTGTGTGATGGAAATAAACCCCAGTGCTGAAATTAGGACAGGAGCTGGCTGGATGTAGTGCCTCTTAACATTCAAGGTGTCCAAACCACTGCACAAGTAATGCATTACTGGTGAGGTATTGTATGTAGATAACAGAGCATGTGTATTATTTTTTGTGATGGCTCATGCACAGCCAGGGATGTCAGAGCTTGGTTCGCTGAAGGATGAAGTTTTGGGTGAGGATACAGCAGGATTGTTTCTTATTCCTTCCCCCCTGCTGTGAGATTCCCAATTTTGGACAGCCACTAGAAGCAGGCAGACCTCAGCCGTTAATGGTAACACACACATATTGAATCTCTTGAGTACTTGGGATCTAGCTTAGTACAATATCATTTGTTCCTGCACTGTGTAGAGCCTGCTGGAAGCCCACTTAGATTACACATGAAACATTTACTAGAAGTGTCTGTTCTGTGGGTGTTGCTATATATGTGTGTATATTGCTATATATATGTATATTTATAAATATTAGTATGCATATATATAGACTCATGCACACTTTTAGGACTGTGCCATTTGAATAACAAGGTATCTAGGGATGCACAGATGCTGAGGCTGATGGACTGGCAAAATGTCGTTTTCCATTTTAATTTGTTATTAAGGAGGACCCTTTTCAGTAGAACTGAAGAGCTCCTGAATTGTTCCATTGTACCGGTTTGCTATCTCATTCTGGAGTTAAATGGAGGGAAATGAAATATTTATAACACTGATAAAATAAAGTTACTTTTATTATTTAATAGCATCAGTTACTTTTATTGTTTCATGCTTCAATGCTAGAGATATCATTCTGTGTTTTCCAAGGCATGATGATGTCATATCTTTCTCTCTAATTATAGCACCCTTCAGTATTGTGAGGAGTAAGGCTGAATGACTCATGCAAGACAGGAGGAGTGCAAGGCTAATTTTGCATTGGCTCACGGAATTGAACTCCGATTCCAGTGACTCTTTCATTATTTCACATGAAGGCTTCTCTGTAGGTTTACATTTTCAGATATCTGTAGGTGTTTTTAATGACAACTATCACTTTCACCAGCAGTATCAACTTGTGCTGTAGCCTGGATTCTGCTACGTAAGGACTGCCTTCTAGAAGTACCATAGACATAAAGAAAATAGAACAAAAATTATATTCTGTTGCCATTGATCTTCCCAATTGTATTTGCAGAGCTGATGCTTTGTGGATGAATAGTTGTGTTTTATTTTTTCTGGTAGGGCAGTGGGATACTCTTTAAGTAGTATTTAACATCTTCTTTTGCTCATTTTTGCCTTTTTTTTTTTTTTTTTTTTTTTTTTTTGCTGTGACAGTGGTGTGCCTGTTAATGAAAATCACTAGCACACAACCTCATGGTTGGAAGATGACTGTTTTCCTTTCAAGCTGTACTAGATGCCTGCTGTGGGGTGCAATTATGTGCTGACCCTTTCAGTTTCTCAAAAACGTGTTGAGAAGATCTGATTCTAGGTAAAAGCTATGAAATGGACAAGGTGCATTGGCAATCTAAAGTTTGCAGGTGCTTAGTGATACACAAGAAATATGTGAATATGCTGGAAGTACGGCTACTTTGAAAGCACTCCAAGGACAATTATACCCTTACACTTATATATTCCAGAAAGGAAGCAGTTCCTTATGCTGAGCCATCTGAGGTGTGTCATTTTCTTTTCTCCATTTTTTGCATCTTTCACATCAGACTAATATCCATGGAGGAGTACTTTGCAAGAATGGTGTTTAAGCTTCTGTGTAAGAACTCTTCTATTATACTGAAATTAACATTTCTTACTCCAATGTATCTGTTTTCCATTCTTCAAACATTATTTTCTCTCTTTATTTTCCTTTTGAAATCTGAGCCAAAACGACATTGGTTGTTTGTTTTCTAATTAATCTAAAGCCTGAAGTGTGAGTATCTTTAGTTATTTCAGTGATCCTCTTAGCAGCTTATCATATAAGTATGCCTTTCTGGATACCTGTGTGGCTACAGGGTATAGTATTACAGGGTTCTCTGTGGCAGTACTCATCTTTACATTTTGCTTTCTTAGCAACAGAGCGGGCAACTATTTTTCTTAGTATTGGATAGCTACAGCTTTAAAATCCCAGAGCTGCCTGCCAAGATCAGTTGATTGCAATGGAGATTCAGTAATGTGCCAAAAGTGGCTTGCCAGCATATTGATGAAGACCAGAATTTTATGCAGAGGATGTGTCTCAAGAGTCAGTGCTTTAACTCCCTTTGGAAGGGCAGGTCATGACTGCACTGTGAAAATGCTTCAAGAGTAGATATAACTCAGCCCTGCTCCCAGATCCTAGAGCAAACAGAATACTTAGAGGGGCAAGGATGGTTCAGTCTTTACTGAGGAGTTACCAGTCCCAATAGACTGCGGGAGTTTGGCATAGGCTGCCCCAAAGTAGGCTAAGTACCTGGATTCTCACTTCTGTACCCAGCAGTCAAAGGAAGGATTGTGGGTAAGTGTACTCCAAGCTGTGCAGTGGCACCATGCTTCTCCTGACTGCCTTACCCAATGTCCTGTCAGTACCAGAGCTCAGTGGCCTCTCTGGCAAATTTCCAGCCCTCCTGTCCATGACTATACCCACAGAGAGCAGTGTTCTCTTGTCCCCTCTACACGTGCATTGCAGCAACGGCCCCCACCTTGGCCAAGGGATTTCCTGGCCTGTGTATGGTGTGCTGCTACTGGAATGGGGGAAAATTCCTCCCTCAGGCCTTGATCATGCAAGTAAATTCATTACATTTGACTTCAGTGATTAGGCAGGCTTAGAGCTGAATAACCTTACTGTATTCAGCCATCAGAGTGCATCTTGTCTCCTGCCTTATTTATAGGGTGCCACATTCCAGTCTCAGCTGCAGTTTCTTGTTTCTCAGGTTTTTTGTTTTTTTTTTTTTAAAGACAATCTATCCTATACAGTACACATGTGTTCAGTTATACTGAGTGGGAAACACAAGCCTCTCATTTTAAAAACTCCTCATTCTGATGTAACACACAACTACTAAGAAATCTAAGCAGGGGGATGCTTTGTAACAAAAGCAATTGTTTCAACATAAACACGACTATAATTCTGGAAAGAATTCTATGCTTAGCCCTTTAAAAACAGTCTAGCTTATGCTTTTGTTTCCCTTTTATGGAGGAGATTTTTGGGATCCTAAACCAGCAGTGATTCTACTGAAACATGCATACAAGAAGGTGAATAACCAAGAGAACAGATGAGAGGTTTTCTTCAGTAATTTGCTTTATCCTATTTTTGCCCTCATCTACTAGAAACAGAATGCTGATAAGGGAATGATATTTCAGAGCTCCCCAATATGCTTTGACGTGCAAGAAATACACGCCATTTGTTTTAGCAGTATAGTACTACGTATGTAATTGCTTCATCTAAAGCCAGCCTCTTTTCTGCTAGCAAAGTGTAACACCTGGCTCTTCAATTAGTCCCTGTCTAGGAGTATGCTTGACGTGTAACCTTCCACTCAGCAAAGTGTGCGTGGTTGCAATCCGGCGCTCCATCATGACAAGTGCTGCAGCAATTAGCTGAGTACTAATGCATGAACCACACAGCAATTCATTACTTAGCCTTAACCTTTATTTTAATGAGGGAAATGGCCTTCTGGTTCCAACTGTCTTAATGACCTTCAATTATCACTTTTTTTCCTCAGCATGTGGCAGAGGGAGAGTGCAGTTCTTGCTCTTACAAGTATTCAGAAATACAAGTCTTGTCGAGGAATGGTTAGGTTTGTAGGTATGGAGAAGAAACTCAAGAAGCTCTTGAGCTTGATTCAACAGACATGAACAATTTCAACTTGGCTAATTGGGCTCTAATGGATAGTTTCCCTTATGTAGGACTGTAAAAAAAAATAAAAATTCCTACATGACATTCACGCAGAAAATGAAAGGAGGCAAGGTTAGAAAAGTAAAGCTAAGCTGGGTCCCGGGAATGTGGACTCTACAGAATGGATTATATAAGCATTGCTATTTTCTGAGCAGAGAGCTGCCAATGCTAACCGTTGAAGATCACTGTAATGAGTAATTCATTTATCACAATTATCATATGTATATCCATGTTTGGGGATGCCAGAGGTTTTCCTTCCAAATGAATGGTAAGAAAGTCGCATCAAAAGACATGATCACTACAGGCCACAAAGCAAATTACTGTCTTCCCTCTACTGTCCCCCAGCTTGGCCCTTTTTACAGAACCAGTGCTTCTTTTTTTTTTTTAAGCTCAGAAGCGGGGAACACTTACTGATGTGTTTGTTCTAATAGGGGCTGGGTGCAGCTGTGAGTTTTCTCCTGTGGTCTTGCCACTGTTGTAATAGTGTCCCTATCTCCTTGGCACGTGATAGCAGTATACTCACATCAATCTGAGAAAAGACGTAAGCTTGCTGGCTGCTAATGGCAGGAAGGAAATGGAACATAATTTTATTTAAATCTGATTTAAAATCATCTTGAATGCTCTTTGCATTTCCTTCCTTTTTTTATTTTTTTTTTTCGCTGTCATTTTTAGTCCTTTTTCATTGGAGTCTTTACTTTCTGATCAGTTTTCTTCCTTAGTTCACGCTGCCTTGATTTTTGACTGGAAAGGTCAAAATTATGTTCAGGGGTTTGGCTCTAGGACACTTCTGCTTGACCAGCATCACAGATGGCTGGATGTCCTCTGACCATTCCCAGCCATAGGTAGGAATATTAAAATTCTGCTGTACTGGGACATGGAGCATTAAGGGCACCTCTGGGGGTAACTGTAATGTCTCAGGATTAAGCAAATGGGAAGCCTCATGAACTTGGGCATTTTGCATGTGAGCAGTAGATCATAGCCTTCCCAAACTTAATATTAATAGGGAAAAAAAATAGTTGTCTTTGTTGTTGTTAGTTTGGGTCCTTTTTTTCTTTTTTTTTTTTTCTTTCTTTTTTTGCTCTATTCTGACATTCCTCCTCTTCACCATTTATTCTGTTAAATAATTTTTGCCTGGGCAAATGTGACCATGCTGCTCTGTGACATGCTTGCAAGAAGTGGCAGCTGCTTCCAATTGGCGAGGGAGCGTGCTGTTCTCTGGTGTGAAGTGGCCAGCCCTGCTGCCACATTGCTTTCTACTCAGAAAAAATCATGGGGAGATGGCAGGGCCTTAGCAGGCTTTTTTTGTTCCATTTACTTGTCACTCCAGAGTGATTCTCTTCCATCTGCCTCCTTTGATCACACAGCAGCTTTGGGAGAAAAGAAAATAAGTGGCTGAGCCTTCAAAGCAGTGAGCAGCCCTTGGGAGTTCTGCCTCTCTTTGGCTTAGTAGCTGCACCTCACAGATCTAGGGAAAGGGGGTTGCCTTATATGCAGAAAAAACCATATATCACTGTACTGGCAAAAAGTGGCACCTCTTTGGAGGCTACATATTCCCAGCATTCCACTGTGAGCCAGGAAGGGCGTAAAATACATATGGACATTGACAAACCTTCAATTTATGAAGGCTCTTCCAAACTAGGATCATCAAGTGTGTTTTTCTTCCTAGTGCTGGGGCAGTTGCGTACGCTCAATGCCCTGCAACCCTACTTGAAAATTAATCAGGGGTTAAAATCCCTTCCCAAACAGGCTTGAGAGTTGCCAGCTTTGGCCACTGGCCCGTGAGCATGCAGTGTGTTGGGGAAGGGAACTGGGAGTTTAATGCCAGCATTTCACTGTGTAAAGGTCTGCAAGGTGAAGTGTGAGATATGAAGGTTGTTGTATTATTTTGTGCTGTAAACTGTCTGCCAGTCATTTTGGATGCAGCCAGCTTTATGGAAGCAGGAGACTTCTGAATGATTTTGGGATGTTTAGGTGATGATAATAGCTGAGAATTCACATTCTGTACTTCCCGTGCAAACCTTCAGACAGTCCATGGAGGTTTCAGTGTCCTCTCTGAGTCAGTGAGCAGAACATTTTGCTGCAAAATACAAGCCTTCCTCTGTGCCACTGTTACTGCTACTTTGCTTCTTTCTGCATAGCTTTTACAATAGCTATGGCTTTGTAGACTCTCACTGGGAATAACCATGATGCTTTGTGGGGAAAGATTATTTTCTTATGGATACAAATACCAAGCTGCAAGTGCGTGCTAATGAAAATGCAATGTACATAAGGGCTGGAGATGGTTTATGAGGCTGTCACTGTTAGCTCAGTGGGGATTTATTCTGAGCTAGAACTGACTTACTGACTTTTTTTTTTTTTTTTTTTTTTTTTTGTAACATAAAGCTTATGCAGAAGCTGGTCACTATGTTTAATGATATGCTTCTGTCTTTTGGCAGTTTACAAGTATAATGATGTGTTACAGAATAGGGAAAACACTTGCTGTGTGTTGTAATTAATCAGCATATCTCTCTGGAGTTGCTGTGGTTAAAGGGAGAGCGTAATGAGTCAGAGGGCTGAGGTTTTATTCCTGCCACTGTCACTGAGTCTTTGTTGGGCAAGACGTTTAATCTTGTGTGCCTCAGTTTCCTTATCTGTAAAATCGGGATGGTATCAACCTCCCCAACAAACAGGTAAGGTGCTTTGCTTTGTGTGGCCAAAAATTTCCATTACATTAACCAATCACCAGTATCTCAATGTGCCTCGTAACATTGCTCCCATTTTGTATTGTGCATCATTTAAAGCTGTTTATTGAAGGAAAGTGGGACTAACTCTGTCCCATGCTTTTTAGCTGAGTTGACTTAAACTGAGATAGTAAAGAGTGATGAAAGATGGCAAGTTTCTAATGACTTAGCTCTCACTTTTCATGCTTGATTTCCATATTTGAACTATCTTGTCTTGCAGTTGTTGCTGTTTTTGTTTGTTTGTTTGTTTGTTCGTTTTTTACCTCAGGTGAAATTTCTAGTCCATAAAAGCATTCAAGTGGTTGCCCTTCTTCCTGAGAATAATATTTTGTTGAATTTTAAAGTGGTTATATACCATCATACTGGATTCACTGAGCACAGTGTGTTCCATTTGGAAGGGCCTGTCTCAGAAAATACCCTTCACTGTTGCCCCTTTCTACTATGGGAGTGTCTTTTCCAACAGCCCAAAATTCACCACTGGAGTCAGTTGATGCAAAATATTTCTGGAGAAGGAGCCAAACATCTGAGGGAGAAGACTCTTTGGTCTTCATGCTGGCATCTGTTCTGGCCATGAAGCACATGAGAGATTAAAACTGATGAACAAGGACAAGAGTCAATGATAAGCTAGAGATCTGAGGGTGCCTCCTGCAAAAAGGAACAAGGCCAAGATAGTGGTTTATCAAAGGAGCTGTGATCAGGTGGCATGATGATGAACAGATTGATGATGGAAAGGCTGTTTCCATCAGGCTGTAGAGTGGATACACTCAATTGTTGTTTCCTGGATGTGATAGTGGAAGGATAAAGGACGAATTCCAGTCTCCTGAATTCACTCCAGATGAAATAAGGTGTGACAGAGAGCAGAATCTGGACTGTTCCATAGTGTGTTTAGATCCCTGAATAGAGCAATAAAGCCAAATAATAAATGCACATATTCAGCCAACGTTTCAAGAGGATCCAGAGTTCCAGTATTTGTACATATCCTATTATCTGAACACACATCTGTTCCAGGAGTTGTAATAACATCACAAAGGGCTCTTTTATGCTGTCTGACCCCATGCATAATGCCCTGAAGCTGAGCATCATGAGGCTGCCAGCTGGCAAAGGGAATCTGAGGCATGCAGCAGCACCCATGAAATGCAGCTATATTTAACAGAATATCGGGGTCCAGATAATGAACAGTGGTGGGGGACAGGGAAAAGGGGAAGTATTTTTTTGTAACAAAGTAAGAAAGCATCTTCTTCCCTGATTTTCATGCATTTCCTATTTATATAAAGTATCTTGATCACTGCTGCTGCTAAACAAGATTTTAAACTGGGAGAAAGAGCAAATCTGTACACAATGAAAGAACTGGTTGCTGTTCCTTTTGGACACTTTTTCTGTATCGTGACTTGTGTGGAAATGTACAGAATAAAAGTGAAGAAGCGCAAGCCTTGGCTGGGATGAGTTTCCTTGTGTTATTTCCCTATGGGGCTGGGCTGCTGCATCTGGCAGAGCTGTAAAACTGGTGCAAACAGTTAGAGGAAGAGGAGGAAAGGGCTAGAATCATAGAAACAGAATTATTAAGGTTGAAAAGACCACTAAGATCATTAAGTCCAATTGCCAACCCACCCCAACTGTACCCCCTAAACCATGTCCTCAGTGCCACATCCACAGGGTTCTTGAACACCTCAAGGGATGGTGACTCTGCCATCTCTGCAGGCAGCCTGTGCCACTGAAGCACCACTCCTTCTGAGAAGAGATATTTCCTAATATCCAACCAGAGAATATGAAAGTCAAACTTCTGCATGAATGTTTGTGTGTGCTGTGGCAGGACAACGAACAGGAAGAGAGCACAAGGCCTTTGGACAGGCCAGCTTCAGAGCTGGGGTAAGCAAAGGGTTAATGATGCCCCTAATATTTCTGGGGAAATCTCAGTGCTGTGGTAAACTCAGATAATTGGCGGCAAAGATCCTGCAGTTATACAGGACTGTAGTATTGAGAGAACAGGTCACCTCAGAACTGTATCCATGCTTCTAAAGAGCATTTAATTAGTGCAACCTCTGATTCACTCCCCAGTTTAGCTTAGGTTCTCAGTTTAGCACAGTTTTAAGTTATTCTGTAAGTAGGATATAGTAGCACTGTTTCTTTCTGTCCAACTATGCATGGTTGAAGAAATTTCTGTCATGATCACTGCTTCCTTTCTTGACTTCTCTGCCTGCCCTACTCAGGGGCTTCTTTGTTGCTTTGGACATTTAGGTTCTCCTGACCTCTTTCATGCAACATGATAGTTCCATCTCCCTTATTGCTGCTCTCCCACCCTGAAATATTCTTGAATTGACCCATCTCCTGGGACAAGGCTTGCACACAGCTGCTTCCCTCGCACATGGCTCTGACCCCCACCTCCACCCTGAGCCCTTTGTTGCTCAAAGCTGCTGCCAGTAGCCAGCTGTGCTCTTTCTCATCTCTTTTAAAGGATTTCTTAAATGCCTTTTTCCCAGTGCCTCAGACAAACTAAGAATATTATTATTACTAATGGTAGCGCTAAGAAGACTTATTTTGCCTGTGAAGGACTGACCAAGGATTATGAGCTCCATTGAGTCCTTCTGCTCAGTATTTTTGACATTTAGAAGTGTTGCAACAAAGCACTGAATCCTCTGAAGCCTTTCAACAAGGTAACAAGATGCACCAAATGGCTGCCAGCTGCTCCCGGAGAGTGCTGGTGAAGAAGAGGTGATTTGGGTGTGTTCAGAGCTGCACTCAGCAACATCTGGAGGTGTTCCACCACCTGCAAGCAGAGCTGCTTGATGGGGCCTTTGAAAAAGGACAGTACAGTTTTACATCTTCGTGATTTTTGGACCCCAAACTCTGAATGCGTGTGGCCTTGCACATGTATGAAGCTCTGAAGAGAGTCCAATTCTTGCTCCACCCTTTCATTTTAGTTTTCCCTTGTTCCTCATCAGTTTACCTATTTTAGCTGCTTCAAGTCTGGTGTCTAGCCAGCTTACCCTACAATAATCTTCCACAAAGATGATGAA